CATACACATACTATACTACTATTATATGAATAATTTTTCTAAGAAGAAAGTAATGATTCGTCTTACCCATATGATAAGTTTTAAGGCACCCTTTTCAAGCTTAAATTGTCCGGTATTATCTCTTTGAATCGTTAGTAACTTATCAACAAAGTCCGATCTATTCTCTTTATCTGCCTCTTCATGTTCTTTCACCACTCTTTCGAGAAAGTCATCAAACCTTTTATCCACTTCCTCCAGTTTATGATCCACACCACGGATCCTATCAACCCACGATAAGCTAGGAATGTATTCCCCTAGAGGAAACTCACCCAAGACAGCCGCAAATGTACTCACTATGTTCTCAACATCAATTCCGTCTTCGGGGTCGCTATATTTTCTTCCCAAGGCAACTCTATATATTATATCGTTAGTCAAAGTCATAAGGAGTTGGCTTAGATTTACAAGTAAGGGAGAAGAAGAAGAGATCGCTTTTTCCAGCTTTTTGATCATTAGTTTTATTTCTTCTTCTCTTATTTTCTCATAAGACGGGGCCATCTTGTTACTGAGTAAATTCTGGATGCATATACTCTGCATATATCCAACGCAGATTCGAAATATTTTGTTGCTAACTATAAATAATAATTTATATAAACGAAAAATGCTTTCAACGAGTGAAAATGAGATAATTCCAACTTTGTTGGACGCTATGTTTCAAGATATGTAATGTATACTTATATATCTTATAGAACTACCAAAAAAATAATATGACTAATATGTTTGTCTAGGGAAAAAATACACAAAAAGCTACCTTCATTTGTCTCCAATATTCTCCGTAAGGGGAAAAAGCAACATCTCTACCACCACTCAAAATTTTATCGACCACTTTTGTTTTTGGACGATTGGCACACTTAAGATCGTGCGTCTTCATGACGTCATGAGCTATATCGGCGGAGGAGACTATGAACACTGGTGTGCAGCCGAAATAAAGGAGCATAAGTGGTCCATATCGGAGGCTAAGACAACGAAGAGAGTGGTGAGGTTGGAGACTGAGCTGGTGGAGGTTTCCGATCATGGGAAGTCGCCCTGGAGACGGTGGTGGGTTAAGTTTGTTTGCGGGGGTTTGTTTGAGGATGGATTTCAGGAGGAGAAGTGTAAGAAGAGTTGTTGAGCACAGAGTAATTAATAGGGTATTGTAGCTAATTATCTTGTGGATAATTATATTATGTTATTGTGTTTTGAGCATTTCATCTCCTTCTCCACTTTGTAATTTATAGGGTATTGTAGCCCATCGTTTTATATAGTATGCGCAAGAGAACAAAGTGTGTGTTAATGTAAGAATGTACAGATGATTTTGCTCCTCAATGTTTATATATTACATGTTATTGATAGAAATCGATGCATAATAAATAATTAGATGTGTCTTCTCTACAATATGC